AAATAGTATACATTTAAATGAAAAATTATTTATTTGTATATTATTAATTCAATTATTTTCAGAATAATTTAATATAAATGCAGCAAAACATAAACGTAAGTAAAAAAATAATGTGATTAAAGTTATTACAGTTATAATTGTTATTAAAATATATTGATTATTAACAATTAATAATTGAAAAACTAATCATTTTGGTAAAAATCCAATAAATGGTGGAAGTCCGCCTAAAGATAATAAATTAAAGAATAAACAAAATTTTAAAACTTTTGAATTAAAAAATGAATTAAAAACTTGATTAATATGATATATTTTAAAATTATTGAATATAAAAATTAATCTAAAAGATAGAAATGAATATATAGAAAAATAAATTAATCAAGTTGATTCACTAGCTTGTATAGCAGTTAATATTCAACCTAAATGATTAATTGAAGAGAAAGTTATTAATTTATGAAGAGAAGTTTGATTTAATCCTCCCAATGAACCTATTACTGTTGAAAAAATAATTACTAAATAAATAAAATTTCTTCAATTAGTATAAGAAATTAGTACAAGAGGAGCAATTTTTTGTCATGTTATTAAAATTAGAACATTTATTCATGATAAACCTTCTATTACATTTGGAAATCAAAAATGGAATGGTGCTGCTCCGCTTTTTAATAATAAAGATGAATAAATAATTAAATTACTAAATATTAGATTATTTTGAATTGTTGGAAAATTATTTATATATATTAGAATAATAGCAAACAATAATACAGCAGAGGCAATTGCTTGGGTTAAAAAATACTTAAGAGAGGCTTCTGTTGATATCAAATTATTATCTCTTATTAGGGGGATAAAAGATAATAAATTAATTTCTAAACCTATTCAAGCACCTAACCAAGAATTAGACGAGACGGTAATTATTGTTCCTACTATTAAAATAAAAAAAAATATAATTTTAGCAGTATTATTAAAAATTAAAAAGAAAAGGACTGTAAACCTTTATAAATGGGGTATGAACCCAGTAGCTTAATTAGCTTATCTTTTTATATTTTAGTGTATGATGCACAAAAGTTTTTGATACTTTTAGAAATAGTTTAATTCTATTAAATATAAATTCGTAATGAATGTAATATTATTACATTATTTACCCTATCAAGGTAACCCTTTTCGTCAGGCAATTCATTGAAATAAAATAACTTATTTCATTTAAAAAAGCTAATTTTCCATGTTTTTTTTATATTTAATATAAATTTTAATGTTGTAAATATAATTTTGTATTTTATATTATAATATAATATAGTGTATAAAAAAAAGTAATTTTTGTAATAAAATTAAAATTAATAGTAGATAATTAAATATGCCAATATATCCATTTCCGAGAGTTAAAAGATCAATACGTTAGCTCAACTAGTAGATGATAATAAAAGGGTGGCCTCAACATATATCTATATAAATGTGGAACGTCAGATTATCTTATCTACTAATAAATGTAACAGAATGTTTATAGATCTATGAATCTTAGGGTTTTTTTATTAGAATATAGATACCTATTAATTAATTAAATATTTATATATATATATTAATCTATTTATAATAGAAATATATATATTAATTAAATATTTATATCATATATATAATATATATATATATGTATATATATAATATATATAAAAGTTATTTCTCAATAAAATATATATTAATATGTAGTTATCAGTATACTTGGTATTTATAAAAATAATATTTATTAAATATACACGCAGGTATGGCTACTAATTATTAAATATAAATAAAACCCTCTTCATTTCTATAAATCTATTAATTTAAAATATATTTATTTATATAAAGAAATATTTTATATAAGATATTTATATACATAAACAATTAAATATTTATATTTATATATATGTAAATAAAAATATTTATATGTATATATATATA